GCGAGTGCAATGAAATAAAATTAAATCTGCAATTTTGAGGTTTTGTTGTTTGGGCCATAAAAAGCGTCTGGCTTAAAGCCGGCTGCGGTCGTGCTGGGGACGTATTTACCTTTGACCCAGCTAAATGGGCAGCATTGTCGAGACGCTGCCAAGGCGAAGCGAAGACATGCAAAAACTTCCATCAGGCAATTTGATTAAAAATGAAACAACTTTCAGCCCAGCTCAGGGCAGCTCGGGCCAGCCCTGGGGAGGCATCCTGGCCGCTGCCAATGGACGCTTTATAGGACTTTCACTTCAAGTTGCGGCCATCATAAAATTATACTTGGTGTTACAGGCGAAATTGCTGTTCAGCTGCCAGATAAGTCCGTAAAGGAAATTACGGGCAGCATAATTGAAAGTGCGACGCTTTGTGGCGGAATCAATGGAGGCCGGGGCTTTGGTTACGCAGCAGCACATAATTTCATGTGAAATGTGCAAAGTCAATTTCGATTCAAAACTCAAATGGCCCGCAAGGTGGCTCCGGCTCTGGCTTATCAGCTAGACAAAGGCTTGCGCCACGGGATGAGTGATGGGCGTGCCAAGACATTTGCGCTCCAGTTCCAGGCGAGATAAGATAACAACGGCCCCGGCCCTGGCAGCCTGCCCGCCGCTGGCAATTCCAATGAAAAATGAGTTAATTAAAGCCACGTTGGCAGTGCCGAGGCTAAGATCAAATTCTTTGGGGCTACAAAGTTTCAGATAAAACTCGAAAATGCTAAACAGTCACGCTTGTTGTCCGAGCTGCTTATTAAATCAAGTTAAGAACTTTTAGAGCCGCAATAAAAGTGTCAAAGATTATGGCATAGTTATAGGCGCGCAAAGTGTCGAAGGGCGCTGTTGTGGGTGTCCTGGTGAGCGAGTCTATGAGGATAAAGCAATTAAATTCGCTTTAATTACGACGCATTTTTGTTTTCACCAGCGCACCAGGATGTTTGTTAATTTCATCGCCTCATGCGGCTCAGATAAAATGGCAGTGAAACGCGCAGAGCCGGAAAATTTTTGTGACCAAAGTCGCCATCGCTGCTGCCCTGCCCGCCGCCCCCTGCTTGCCTCCTTGATAGGTCGCAGCTCGTGCTCTTTGCTCGTTTTGCATGCGCAGCATTTGCTGGGTTGAGATTGGGTCTTGCGGTGCCAGGGACTGGCATGTTTATCTGCACTCAGACAGATACGCCGCATGTCGAGCACTGGTAGCTGGAACACCAACCCAAGCTGCAACTGGAGCTGGAGCTGGAGAGGAAGCTCCGGCCGGGTAGTGTGTGCAAATGTTGTGCGAGCCATTAATCACACGATTTCATGAATACATCAGCCAGTGAAGCACAGAGGCCAGGCCGGGATGTGTACTGAGCGGCAGCCAGACGACGATGACGACGACAGCGCAGAGCCAGGGACAGGCTGCAGCAGCAGCAGCAGCAGCAGGACTCGAGGCAGCCACAGGCACAGCCACAGCCACAGCCTCAGCCGCAGCCACAGTCACAGCCCGGACGAACATAAACGCAACAAAACGAAATGACTCAAAAATCTTTTTTTCAGCTCATGTTGTGTTCGTTTGTTATTTTCTTCTTCTTTTTTTCTGCCACTGCTGCTCCTGTGTGTGCGCCGCGAAGGGTTATGCGTATGCGTATGTGAAGTGGGGTTGGGGCTGGGGCTGAGCTGAGCTGGGCTCATATCACATGCGTCCATGCAAAGCATTTCGGTTTGTCCGGGGCTAAGGTGACGCCCGGCTGTGTGAGATGCTAGTTGCATTAATGACATCAGCAGCGACCGGAGACGCACAAGTCGAAGTCAGAAGCAGTCGCTCAAACTGGCTGCGGCTGGAGCTGGAGCTGGAGCTGGGAATGGGAATGGGAGTGGGAATGGGAGTGGGTATTGGGTATGGAACTGGGACTGGGCCTGTGGCTGTCAGTGAAGCCATTTTCTGGTAACGAATTCTGGACGGACCCAAAGCTTTGACTGTGGCTCTGCCTCTGCCTCTGCCTCTGCCTCTGCCTCTGTCTCTACCTCTGCCTGGATTCGACTCCTGGTTAGTTGGCAGCTCAAAAATGTCGTTGGCCATGTTGGGCGTGTGTGGCACAGGCGAAGCATTAAGCTCTTGACTTGTAGTCGAGCTGCCCCACCCACCAGCCAGCTACCTTCTGGCATGGCATGCAGCTGGGCGTTCGTCAAACTGCGTTTTGTGTGCGTCCGAGAGACGTTGGCCAGGCCATTAAGCAAGTGTTTAGTCGGAGCAAAAAATGCAGCCCCAATGACTGATGGGTATTTCATTAGTGGGCCTTAAGCACCGCCTGGCAGGACTTTAACTTGAGCTGAATCTTTGCCGCATGCATTAGCATGCTCATGTCTCTTCCAGCAGGAAGCTAATTAAGCATGCGAATGCGCAAAAGTTCGCTGGCAGAAAAAGTTATGCCAATTGGAGTGCGCATTTCGCAAAAATCCCTGTTTCACATTCGTTCTGATAAACATGCCAAACAAGTTGCGGAATATTCACACATACACACACATATATATATATATATATACGTACACACAGAGTCAGCGCCCGCTTCCTGGCAGCGCATAAACAACACACTCAAGCTCGTTTCCGTTGGAGACAAAAGTTTTCTTCGGCGGCTTTAAAATAAACTTGTTTATATTTTTAATTAGATGCACATGAGGTTTTACTTAGCAAACTTTTGACGGCCACACGCAACAACAACAACAACAGCAACAGCAGCAACAACAAACTCTCAGTTATGGCATCTTTAATGCTCCGGTTGAGCTTTTGCACTTTGCCAGTGGCGTCCGCCTCCTGCAACTTTCTAGTCTTTCCACCAACAGAAAAAAAGAAATACTTTTCAACTCACACAGACACACACACATAGACAAGTAATTGTTATTTTTGCAGACACACATCCTGGACACATCCTGGCCGCACAGAGTTTTATAATTTTTCCATTGCATACGCCGAGGCGCTGCTCCGATTTTTGTATCTCAACAAAGTTTTGCAATAGGATTTTAAGCATAACTGTGTGTGTGTATGTGTGTGTGTGTAGCACTCATTGCATATGAAATAGCTGCCCAACTTCAGTGTGCAATCGGCTTAGGCGCTGCGAAAACTTTGCTTTGCCTCGCTGCAGGTAAATGTCAAAATTGATGCCACTCAAAAGGGCGCAAAACTTTGCTCAAGCTGCATTTCCCTACCCCTTTACATATATATATATATAATATTAGTTTTTTATTTTCCGCGCAGCCTTGTTATTGTTTTCTGCCAACAGCAGCAGCAGCAGCAGCAGCTGGCCACAAAGTTGAGCATTGTTTACCAGCTGACCTGTGACCTGACCAGAGCGGAAACGCTGCTCAGCAGCAGCAACAGAAGCCTTCGCCACCTCCTCCTCCTCCCCCTCCTCATCTGTGCAATCAGCAGCCCGGCACAGTTGGCTACGTGGCTTTAGGCACGGGCTTAGCCTAATTAAAAATAGGGAGAGAGAGAGAGAGAGATGGAGAGAGGGAGAGCGACGTCACATTTTGTGGCCTGGCTGCTGGGAGGGCGCAACACTTTTAAATTGAATCAACTTGAGTGCTCATAAATTTGTGCAGGGCTGCTATGCTGCGGCTTAGCTGGCGTCACTTGCAGTCCTCCGCCGGACCCAGGCCAGGGGCGAAACGACGTGTGGCTGCTGCTGCTGCTGCCACTGTTGCTGCTGCTGGTGCTGGCATTGTGCAAACTTTTGCTTAAGGTCAATCAACAAAAAGTCGGCTTGGCTTGCAATGCTTTGGCTCACTTTAATTCGTGGCTGTCAGCTCTGTTTGTTGTTGCCGCTGACACATATACAAACACACTCACACACACACCCATACCTATCGCATCTGTATTGTCTCTATGCCGCGATACACACACACACATATGTATACTTGTTGTGCTCTGCAAACGACTTTGGCTTGTTAATGGTAAGTTTTTCAAAGAGAGCCAATTAAGTTGTCAGTCATTCTCTAGCTGATGCCTCCACTTCCAGTGGCGCTGCTCCTGCTTCAGCTCCTGCTCATGCTCCTGCTCCTGCTCCTGCTGCCACTGCCATAGTCCCAACTGGGTGAGCTGCGTCTGTCTGACATGCCAATTAATTAATTAAGGCATCTTGCAGCATTTCGCAGCTGAAAACGCGTCTGCGCGCGTCTTCTACCTCAACTAAAGTGTCAAAACATTGCAACAATTTAAGGCAACAGCAAAAAAAAATAAAACACACACACACACTCACACAGATGGGGAGAGGAAACTTCACGCTGCGTGTCGCGTGGTAATTTAAATTTTAATTTTGATCTTAATCTCTTAATGCGAAATAAAATGCCGCACACTGGTGCCCGAGCGAAGCATCTGCAATCAGATTCAGCCATGCTGTATACCTCTCTCCCTCTATCTCTCTTTCCCTGTCTTTGTTTTACTTACTTTCTGTTGGCTTCTAATTTACTTTCGCCTGCTGTCTCCGCACGTGGTTACACTTGCTGTACTCAAAGATATTCCACCTCGCATTTTGCAAACCTGATAAAGTAAAAAAAAAAAATAATATTAAACTTATCTGTGTGCAAACAAATGAGAACGAGCAGAGCATACATGCATATACACTCACATATGTACATATATGAAATA